AATTGTAAAACTCACAAGAAAAACTCTTTGTCAAAACAACAGAACTCATGGAAACCTTCAGAAGATGGTGTTACTTTGATGACAACAGCCTTGTGTGGCTCTCTGAGTATGTTCTTCACCTATCCAGAGATACTTTTCTAAGCCATGGACCTTGCTTTCGCCATTTAACACATCCTTCAAACCATTTCAGTGAATCAGTGATCATGCTGAAGAGGGGTCTGACAGGACCAGATGACACTCAGTTAATCAAGCACATTGTGCTGGGTTGTTCTATGCCTCGGACTCAAGAGACTGCAGAGAGAGGAGGCAAACAGAGGCGGAAGAGCGAGGGCCCAAGTGAAAAGAGCAAAAGGCAAGTGCTAGAGACGGGCTTTCCGTGCGACGCCTGCGGAGAAGCCTGTCAGAAGATTCCTCACCACCATCCTTCACAGGGTTCATAATAACCCAGCAGACAGAATCACAGGCCAGGACTCGGACTTGCAGAGCACCCTCAGTGAGAGTGAGAACACTGGAGGACTGGCCGGGGCCTTGTTAAATGTGCACGCACTGTCCTGGGAGCTGCAGACGCAAGGCTCGAAAAGGGGGCACGTTGACTTATTTTTTGACCCAAAAAGGGCCAACTAAAAATCCATCTTTTGCAAATATGACTGTTTATCTCCCACTTACAGATTTATGTTGTGGCTCAAATGGCACAAAAATATACATGGAGTAACTAATTAGTGAACAACAATAGTGGACTCTCTCCTCAGGCCACCACATGGGAGAAGAGAGAAGCAGAAATTAAAATTAAAATTGAAATTAAAAATGTGTGCTCTAAAACGTTTTAGGTACTCCTCACCCTTAACGATTAAATAAAATCATCATACTTGGTAAAACAAAGCCCTTATCATGTACCAACCTCATTTTCCTTCTAAAGTTTAGCTCTGAAGTCTTTAAAAAAAATTCTTTTTTTTCTTTATTGAATTTAGAGAGAGAGGAAGGGGGAGAGAGAGATAGAAACATGGATTGGCTGCCTCCTGCATGCCCATCACTGGGGATTGGACCCACAACCAGGATTTGAATCAGAGACCTCTGCTGCATGGGTCGATGCTCAAACCACCGAGCAACACCGCCGGGCTAGCTCTGAAGTCTTGAATAGCAACCATGGGTGAACAGACCCAGTCAACCGAATCATTACAAGATTTCTAGAAGAGTCAAACCAACACTCTGGGGGCAGGATGAGTGCTCCTAGTTTGTCCTGGTTCAGGGATTGTGTGCCCTTTCTAGTGGGTCTTGCTTCTTTTTTCTTTTCTTCTTTCTTTTGCATTTCCACACTAGTTCCTGTCACAAAGGTTCAAGGAAAAGGTACAAGTCCACCTGGCTTCTTTTCCCCATTACAAAGCGAGCCCACCAAATCCGATATGGAAATGACCTTTATTTGGTTCCATAACTAATCCACACAAGGACAACAACATATTTAAAGATCTGAGTTGAAAACCATCAGCCAAAAACACAGAACGGGGTCAAATTCTTCCCATCTAGTAAAACTGCCGTGCTCTAGTCAAACCGAATCATCTCATTTTTTTCCCTTTTTAAGGGTAATTTCCATTTTTATATTACTTCTGCCAACTCCAAATATTGCATACAGCTGACAAGATTCTGGAAGAGACCCAGTTTATCCCAAGAACAGAGGGATGCTGAGCTGAGGAGACAGGGCAGTTCTGTCCCTAGATAAAAGATAGTCTGATATTAAAGATTTTTTGCTTAAGGCACAAATATACCTGTCTGTGGCTTTTTAAATGGCACATTTTAGCGGCATGCAGCATCATCTTTTATGAAAGACTGTGGCCTTGTCATGACTCCCCATGGGGACAGTGACAGCACATTAACAAGGGAAGGGCAGCATGAAGCAGCCGAGCAGGGATGAGCCTCCTTACGTCAGGAGTTTAAAACAATGAAGGCCACCTTCTGACTCCTGATCACCAAACCTCGGGGATGGGTCAAGAGCTTGTGGAACTGCGGGGGGCTGAGGTTGGTGGGGATGCTAGGTGCAGGCAGAAAACTCCAATTCTCATTTTGTCTATCTGATTCTTGCCTAATTTCAGGAAAATTCCTTTGCTCAGTGTCCTATGTTTTTATCCCATTTGTTTCTTTACCCCATAGTACCCTGGAGGAATAACCTGACTCAAAATACCCACACACAGAGGTAGTAGAATGGCCTGGCTGAGACCTGCCTCTTCTGGTAAGTGAGCTCTCCTAACCGTTTACAGAGCTCCGCCTTAGAGTGTGCTGGCGCAGGGAGGGGCTCCTCCCTCTTCCTTCTTGCTCCCTGTCAGCTCTGAATGCCCCACTCTCCAAGGCCAACATATGATCAGTGCTAAACTAATTACTGAATGAATGAAAGTTTCTCTTCTTCAGAGCCCAAACACAGAAAGGGAATCTTGTTTTGACAAGGGAGATAAACATAAGAAAAGCAATTTCTTACAAGACAGATGTTTCAGAACATAGTGTGTTACTCAGAATTTTAAAATGCTATGGAGGTTCACACTTCTATCTATAGTGATTTTAAATACGATTTATCACGTCTACTCCAAGCGTCCTGTGTTGAAAACAGAAATCTTGACCTTCAAGTGCTTCTTTTGGGTTAACTTTCCTAACTCTTCAGGTCATGTTCTCATCTCATCTTCTCCTAAAGAATCTCAGAGTTCTCCTCCTCATTCATTACTGAACTGCCCTCAATTACTCATTTATGGACTTGAAACCTCCGAGTTCCCTTCCCTAGCACATATTTTTCATTACCTTGTACCCCGAATGAATTTGGTATAAAACACAAGACTTATCGACACCTGAAAAGTTATATATTTCGTCACCATTCTGTTTTCTTTCTCCTCACACCCCAGCCCTCACCAAATGCAACTCCATGAGAGTCAAGACTGGAGTGTCCTTTCACTACTGTATCCCCACTGCCTATTAGCAGGTACAGCAGGACCTCAAAATATGAATGAAAAATAAACGTGGAAGGAGTGAATATTTATACGTGCTCTAAATCTTACATCTATTAGTTATGCTCTCTCATAGTACCGTTATGCCTCTGCAAATTAGGCCGTGCTAGGGTATGCTACCGAGTCCCACAACTCTCGAGTTGTTGCAGAAAGTTAGAGAGACACAACAGCAGACTGCTTAGAGTCATCAGATGTTAGTCTGGAAAGGGGTTTAGAGATCATTATTTTACAGATGAAGAAGCTGAGGCCCGAAGTGAGGCTCGCACAGGGCCACCTGGAAAACCAGCAGCTCAGCTGGAGCTGTAATCTAGGTCTCTCATACCCCATCTAGGATTCTCATCTCCACACCATGCAACTTCACAAATGTTCTGCACTCTATCCAGTCATTTACTGAATACATTCGATGACAATGATTTAAAGGGAAATTATATAATAGCAAGGCCTGAGCCCCACAAATCAAAAGCACTAGTTTCCCCCGAAACAGGCTAATGGAACAGTCCCTCAGGAGTCTGTCGGGACACTCAGTTTTGAGCGTCTGCCCACCATTATGGTTAACCAACAAGCTGATGCACACATATCGAATTTCCTCTTAAATTTCCCTTTATGAAGAAGCAGAAGAATATGGTTTAATAAACACTGAGTCCTTTATTTTTGCTTTCTTTCCATAGTGAAAGTGAATTGAGTCTAAAGATACTTCCTTACAAATTCAGCTGCATTCATGCATTACAAAACTCACAGAAAAAGTACTCAACCAAAAAAAGGTGATAAAAGCATGAATGCAACTCTATTCATGACCTTATTTAAGGAGTCCTTTATACTTTTAAAAAAGCCCTCCTTTATCTGAATCAATGTATGTGAAAAACAATTTCTGAAGCACTTACGAGTATTCAGACTCTAAAATATTGTAATTCACATGGATCCAGATGTTCTTCTAATATACATCAAATGCATTTCCTTATAGATCAAGGGTCACAGTATAGAAACCTTAGCATCGAGTTCTAATGGTGCTACAGGTAGCCCACTAAGACAAAGTCCATTCTAAATATAACTAGAAAGAGTAAAGAATTTAAATTGTGGTAAATATATCCTCCCTTATCCTCTCCCAGATCATATCACTCCCCCTCCCCCAACATGTGCTATGACTATATTGAAACAAGGTGGCTTTTTTCTTTCTAAACAAACATATAAAACTTATGCATCCAAATGAGTAGGGCTGTACTTTTTAATGTAATCACCTTTGGAAGTTATATATGCATTCCAACCAGGCTACCATTACACAGAATTTTTCTGTACTCTGTCTTTTAGGACACAGGTGCTGCAAATTTGTGTGCATGAGGATCACCCAGGGAACATGTGAATCATGCAGATTCTTAGAGATAAGGACTAAACTGGTCTTGGATGGAGTCTTGGAAGCTGTATTTTTTTTTTTTTTTTTATCCTCACCCGAGGATATTTTTCCATTTTTTGTACAGATAGAGTGGGAGGGAGAGGAAGGGAGAGAGAGAGAGAAACATCAACGTGAAGGGACACATCGAGTGGCTGCCACCCGCACGACCAACCAGGGCCGGGGACAAACTGCAACCGAAGTACATGCCCTTAGCGGGAACCGAACCCGGGTCTCTCGAGACTGCAGGCTGACGCTCTAACCGCTGAGCCAAACTGGCCAGGGCTGGGAAGCTGTATTTTTAAAGAAGCACTCTAGGTTAACTTTTTTTGTGTGCAATTTTTATTAATTTATTTTTGTTACAGATGTTTCTCCCTTTTCCCCCCTAGACACCCTCTAGGTTAACTTTTACACAGGTGATCTGTGAGAAATAGCACTTTAGAATAGTTGGCTCACAAGCCATGCAGGAATATTAAAAAAAAACAACAACACGACTTTAAACTCTGAGTACACATACATAGGTATAGATAACACACTGGAGAATTTAATTTCTTTTTTCAAAATATTCACTCTTCCTGATAGAACGTATTACTACAGATATACCTAGAAAGATCTATTTAAAAGAAACAACATACCTCCATGAAAGAGATTCCTAAGCTCCAGACATCAGAATGGATTCCATACTGCTCCCCTGAAATTCTTTCAGGCTGTAAGAAGACAGAAGAGAGCTTTTGAGTTGATGTAAGCTACTCCAGGAATTACTAACGAGCTCAGCTAAGGCAGGGAGCCAGCAACATCTGCATAGCACTTTATGAAGATAAAAGCATTTTTATATGTATATGTATAGGTGTATTATGTAGATAATACATAGAAATTATATAGATTATACTGTATATAATTACAATCTCATTGATTCCTCACAAAGTGCCAGTGAGGAAAGCTATCTTTATTTTACGGGTGAAGAAAATGCAGATTCAGATGAGTGAAATCATTTAGATAAAGTCCTAAGCAGGGAAATGAATTGAGACTTGAACTCAGGTCCTCTCCCTCCAAATCTAGAGGGAGATAGAAACATCGATGAGAGAGAACAATAGGCCGCCTACTGCATGCCCCCACTGGGGATTGGGCCCACAACCTGGGCATGTGCCCTGACCAGGAATTGAACCGCTGACCTCTTAGTGCATGGGTCGATGCTCATCCACTGAGCCACACCAGCCGGGTAGACAGTATTTTATGTTATCATTTATTTGCGTTTTGAGAGATGGGTCAGGATCACTAGAAATACTTACATTTAAAAATTTAAATCTTTTTATTTGGAAATACTTTCTCACACTTCAGGAAAGTTGAAAGATTAAGACAGGTACAAAGATCATCCAAATTTCCTTTGCCCATATTCACTTGTTTAAGATTTTATTCTTGTTGATACAAATGAAGGAACAGTTTGAAAGGTCTGTTTGGGACTGTAGGTCCTCCAGTCATGATGTGTAGCAAGTACGTGGTCTAGGAAGCCAGTACATGCATTCTCTACTTCAACAGAATGATTTCATACTGAAATAGGTGCCGCCTGCCTGGTCTCTCTCTGCCTCCAGGATTCGGCGTTCAGTAGGGTACTTCATAGAGGTCTTTTGAATGAACACAGGAACAAATGATAAGTGTCAGAGAGGTGGAATTGTTGCTTAATAAGGTTCCAGAGCTAAGCAGGGAAGGGCTGGGATCCTAACCCACATTTCTTGGCCCCCCAGGACAGCATTACATTCTTTGTACCATCCCTGGAGTTTCAGGAAGTCACCAGGAAATCCCTTACAAGTCCTCAAGAGTAACTGGTGTCAGGGTCAGTCTGGTCCACTGAATATGGAGGAAGTGGGCATCCACCACTCACCAGCAGGAGACACACCAGGGGTGTGGATGATGTGGGCCAGATGCTCTCAGGTGAGCTGGCAGAGTCCTGCATCTTGGGGAGTTGGCTTAGCAGGGACCCAGAACTTTGTACCTATCTTCCCTCTCCCACCTATCAGGCTCCTCAATGCACTTACTGCCTTCTCCTGGGACCACTTCCCATAAAATTACATAAAACCCTGCCCTGAGGTAGCAAGATGGATTGTCTTATTTCCCTTCCTTTATTTATTTCTTTAATTTGTAAAACCCCCTTCCTACCAAGAATAATTCTTCCCAAGGGCCAAGTATCATGTGACCACTTCTCCCAGCTGCTAATAGACATGGTCATTCCAATCCCCTAATACTTTTTCTTTTATGTTCTAATCCCCCACACAATCATTTCTCAAGTTTCTTGTTCATACATAATGAGCCCATTATCCAATTCTTGCTAGTTCAATAGATACTCAGATGTATTCATGTGGAACTGGCCAGCTAGTTGCAGGAGTAACTCTTCCTCCTCCTCCATCTCCTCCTCCTCCTTCTTCATCATCATCATCATCAGTGCATTTACTGAAGAATTTCCATGTGCCAGGCATGTTTTAAGTGAGTTCATGCATGTCTTATTTCAGATTTATAAGTACCCATATTAGATTGGTACTATTATCATCCCCACTTAACAGATGAGAAAAGTGGGGCACAGAGTGGTTTAGTTTGCAGCCACTATATAAGGATAGTAATAGCTATCGTTTAATGACCACCTAGTATGTGCCAGACACTGAACTAGATCTTTTACATATGCTATACTTCATAACCTTGCAAAGTTAGATATATTGCCTCTATTTTACAGGTGTAGAAACAGGCTTAGTAAGATTAAGTGACTTGCTGAAGTCTGGAGCCATGGATTAGCACTAAGTGTATTATTCAGGAACACAGCCAGGATTCAAACCCAGGGATGTTCTTTCCAGGGTGTCAAACTTCCCCCAGAACTAGGAGTCGGAAAAGCTACACAGTAGTCTGGATCTAGTCAGTATTTCTCAAAATGCAGCCTTCAGACTAGACATCATAGAACGGCCTGAGGTGCTTATTATAAATCAACCTCCTGAATCTGAATCTCTGGGGTGGCTCTGGGGATCTTCATTTTAAAAAATAATTTCTCTGGGCGATTCTTTGGTACACTTAGCTCCAGTCACTAAATATTTTCATGTTCCCCGCAGAGGTAATGACCTACCTTCCTCTTCTTTGCTTAGTGAATGTTTCTCTTATAGGCCCTATTCAAGGGCCACCTTTTATTTGGTGAAAACTTCCTCTGCTCCTCAGGGAGAATTACAAATTCCTGCTTCTGTACTGCATTTAAAAGTTATTTATTACTTCACGTTAATTTATTGCACTGTTTTGTAACCATCCATTAGCTAGTCTGTTTCTCTTAAGAGGCAAAGAGAGTGTCTTATTCATCTCATACCTAGGGCCATGACTGGCAGAGCTGGTGCGCAATCAATGTGTGCTGACGGAAGGCATACAGTACATGCTCACTGCACATCTGGTTTTAAGTATAAACTAATTATTGTGTGCCCTGGAGGGTTCTGCTAACATGACTTCCCCACATATTGCCATTCATGTCCATCAAGAACTTGCAGCAAACACGAAAGTCCTAAAATCCTCTAGAACTGTTAAGTAACCAAATGTTGCTTTCCTGTCTCTTCTTCCGTTCCTTCCCCTTCCCTTCCCTCCTCTCCTTCCCACCCCTCCCTCCCTCCCTTCTTTCCTTCCCTTCCTTCATTCCACTAGCTGACACTTACCAATATATAGTACTTCATGCAGAGTACAGACAAATAAAATGGATCCCACATACAAAATATTTTGGCAGGACCAACAATAATATTAAATGCATTCATAACATTTGCCTGCTGAACTACCAAACAAATGCAAACTGTTAGCTGAAAATAAATTAAATATGGCCCTGGCCAGTTTGGCTCAGCGGTTAGAGCGTTGGCCTGCGGTTCAGAGACACCTGGGTTCGGTTCCCGCTAAGGGCATGTACTTTGGTTGCAGTTCGTCCCAGGCCCTGGTTGGGTCGTGTGGGTGGCAGCCACTCGATGTATCCCTTTCACATCGATGTTTCTCTCTCTCTTCCTCTCTCTCCCTCCCACTCTATCTGAATAAAAAAATGGAAAAATGTCCTCGGGTGAGGATTAAAAAAAAAAAGAAAATATGGCCCTGATTGGTGTGGCTCAGTTGGTTGCAGTGTGGTCCCGTACAAAAGGTGGTGGGTTCGATTTCTGGTCAGGGCACATACCCACACTGCATGTCAATCCCCAGTCAGGGTGCGCAGAAGGCAACTGATCAATGTTTCTCTCTCTCTCCCTTTCCCCCTTCCTCTCTCTAAAATAAAAGCATATCCTTGGATGAGAATTAAAAAAATAAAATAAAAAAGTAATAATGGTCACAGATATCAGGTGGCAAATAAGAGAACTAACTCCTTAAGGACACGATTCTGATAACTTCTCACTAGAGAGAGACATTCCTCTTACAATAAGCTAACAAAACAAGATTACTATTGTGATGTAGTCCTCAAGTATGAATGCTCAGCAAGATCAACTCTTAAGGTCTATCCTAGAGAATTCATAGAGTGGACAGGGACTGGGCAATGCACCCAGGCCCTTGAAACTGACACAGGTCCAAGATAAGCTCCAAATACATGCTGGATTTATGAAGCCAGGACTTAGTGGCCTGAGGCTGGAAAATTCAAAGCTGTTCTCACACTTGAAGCCAAGGTGGGGTGCTCTGTGCTCTCCCTTTTTTTATTTTTTTGGTTGTACGTGCCCCTAGCGGGAACTGAACCCAGGACTCTCTGGTCCGCAGGCTGATGCTCAACTTCTGAGCCAAACTGGCCAGGGGAGTGCTCTCCCTTTAAAGCAAAACAAACCTAATCACCAGGTACTACACTAAAGGACACTTTGCAGTTAGAAAGCCAAAGCTGGGTTACTTTCTGACATGACAGTTGTCACCACTGTGGAAAGCTAAGTAACAGGAAAAACAATTCTCATCTGAAGTGTCCCTGTATTGAAGCTTACGTGCAGGGGCGAAAAAACCTGGTCTGTTCTTGCTAATAACAGTAAGAAATGGTGACGAGACAAAAAGCGGAGTTTACAGAGGATCCTGAAGGGCAGCAGCTCCAGGGGGGATGCACACTCCGCTCCTTCCAGCCACCCTCTGTGACTTGGCATTTACCCACGACCCATATTTAGTTAACTCATTCTAGAATTGTCTCTACAACACAATATCCTAGGGTTTACTTGCCAAAAGCAGGAAGATACCAAGGTACATGCCTTATCTCTTCTGATAAGGACTTTCTGTTCTGTTAGGCTACTCAGAAAATTAAGAAAGTATGCACAGATACTTTAGATTAGTATGTAATCAAAATATGTATCACACTATGGGGATTTTTTTTTTTTCAAGTCAACAAGATTCCTGTGTGGGTAGCGGGGCACACTGGTTAAACAAGGGTTCTGAAGTCGACTGCTCTAACTCAATCTGTTAGTTCACTAATTCTCTCTTCTGCTATGTCCAATGTGCTACCAAATAGTGAGTTTTATGTTTTAATCCTAGTAGTTTTGTTTGGGACTTTCTCAAATCTACTATGCCACTTTTTTTTCCCCCTTGTTAATCCTCACCTGAGGATATTTTCCCTTTGATTTTTAGGAAGGAGGGAAGGGAGAGAGAGAAATATTGATGTGAGAGAGACACATCCATTGGTTGCCTCCCACATGACCCCAACCAGGGCCTGGGATCAAACCTGCAACCCAAGGATGGGCCGTTTACTGGGAATCGAACC